GAGAAACACCTGCTATAATGTTCGTATGTCAACGAAGAGTACGAGCATCATTTGTAGATGGACGACAATTACACGCATCATCCGCAGACCGACGGAAATGAACATCTGGGGGTAAAACTATGATGTAGCCGACCTCCTACTCAGAGTCTTGGCCCTGGATATCACCGCTGCCCTCATCGGAAAAGCAATCCTCCAGGGACTGATGCCTCTTGGACACATTCCTCAACGAACGCCCCCGCCTGCACTCTTGCTCCGACGCCTCCTGAAACCAGAAGTTGCCATGCATCGCGGGAGGAGAGCCCAGCGTTGGGACCGACGCCAGCTGCATGCAGCAGATTCCGTACCCCGCACCCCTTTTTTTTTGGCGGGCCCTGGGGAAAAATGAGAGGGGGCCGGTCTTCTCAGAAGGCGGCCTTCTGAGAAATTGTCTGAGCCTTCTCCGAAGATGGAGAAATTGTTTCAGAAGGCTTCTGAAAAATCCCGCCGCCTTCTGAGAAGGCATGCTCCCTCTCACATCCCCCCGGGGCGCGCCACCGATTTGTGGCAACTCGGAAGGTCTCCACAAGGTTTCCACAAAGTGAAGCGCATGTTCCCACTAATTGAAGCGTGGGCACTCTCGGACGCCTCATGTGTTCTACCTCTGGGGGTAATGTCTACGCCCCACCCTCGTTTTAACCACCTCGGGATGACAAGCGGCTCCGGGGCAAGCGGACGGTCGAAAGCTGCGGGGCCGAAGAAACGCCAAAAGGTCGTGAGGTCTGAGGTCTGGGGAGGAGGAGGACGACGAATAGTTCGAAGACGACGTCGTCGCCTGCCTTATCTTCATCCTTCAGCTTCCCATCCTCTGGCTCTTCCTGCTCCACCGCCTCCCCCATCACTAGCGTCCACTCCTCCCTCGCCGACGGCAATGACGACGAAGACGGCAACCGAGAATGACGGAGACGACGACGACGAACACGACGGCGGCGGCGGCGGCGGAGACGAAGACTATCAGCACGACGACGACAACGACGACAAGACGATGTCAAAGACGACGATGATGACAAAGACAACAAAGACGAAGACGAACGACAACTACAACGCAGACGACGACCACCAGGGAGAAGACGACGAAGACGACGACGGCGTCCCGGCGGTTGCCGCTAGCCACTCGAGGCCTCCGGAGGCCCCCCGAGGCATCCGGAGGCGCCGCGGCGCCTAGGCGCGCAGGCGGCGCACGAGAACAGACCTCTGGGCCAGAGACCCTCGCGGCCTTCGGCCCTCGGCTGAAGTCGGGCCTGTCCCCCATACAGGCCGTTTTTGGACGAAACACAGAAGAATCTAAAAACACACTCAAAGATGCTCAGAAAAGCGTCCCAACAGTGTTTTTTGACTATTTCTGCATTTTCCTCCTGTAGAGGGACAGGCCCGACTTCACCCTCGGCCCTCGGCCGAGCACGGCGACGGCAGCGACGGCCGGGGGACGGCGCGTCGCCCTCGCGGCGACGTCGGCGGCGAGATGGCGAGATGGCGGCCGGCGGCCGCGGCGGGGCGCGCCGTCCTCTCGCGCAGCTGGAGTCGCAGGGCGGCCACCTCCGCCTCCTTCTGGCTCAGCTCCCGGAGCAGCTCCTGGCCCCGCGGAGCGGGGCGTATCGGGCGGCGGCCGCGGCCGCCGGCGCCGTCGGCGCCGCCGCCCGCCTCCTCCCAGCTCGTCCTCCCCGCTCCCCCTCGCATCCTCCCAGCTCGTCCTCCGCGTCCTCCTCGTCCTCCCTCCAGCTCGTCCTCCTCGTCCCTCTCTCGCTCTCCCATCCTCGTCCAGCTCGTCCTCCTCCAGCTCGTATACCCCTGCCTCCTCCTCCAGCTCCTCGTCTTCCTCCTCGTCCTCCTCGTCCTCCTCCTCCTCCCTGCCGCCCGTCTTGCTTCCTTTTCTGCCCGCTCGGCGCCTCGGGCCACGCGCCTTGACAGGCCCTGCCGCACCACTGGTGGGGGCTTCTGCCCTTCCTCCCTCCCTCCTCGCCTCCCTCCTCCCTCCTCCCTGGCCACTCGCCTCCCCTCGTCACCAAAGGTTCTTAGAGCATGGCTTGGTGGGCCCGTGGGCGAGTCAGGACGCCTCGCCACTGCTTGATCGGGAGGCTTCGTCGGCGGCGAGTTCTGGGAGTTTGGGCTTCGAGGTCCTGGATTCTTTGGGCGTTCTCGGCGGTCCTCGGCGTTTTGCCTGGCCTCGGGATGCGTGCCAGCGACCGCGCCTCGCCGAGAGCGTTCTGGGGCTGCCCAGATCGTCCCAGACGGCCGCCGGCGGCCCCAGCTGTGTCCCGGGAGCCGAACTCGGCGGCGCGCGGTGGGGGAAAGTGAGAGAGGGGGGGGCCGGGCCTCCTTAGGAGCCGGCGGCGGGGCCCCCCAGAGGCCCCCCCCCCCCCGCGCCCTCCGAGGATCCCAGCAGGGCTGCTCCGAGGCCGCAGAGGCGGCGTCTCTGGAGGCCAGGAGGGCTGCCGAGGAGCCACGCCGACTTGCTGTTCGGAGCGTGCCCCCTCTCGCCTGCCCCCCCCTATGGGGCTCGCCGTCGAGCTTGGGGCTGGAATTAAAGGAACGATCACCGCTGACAGTCGGCGGCGAGCGAGGGGGGGAAGCGAAAAGGAGAAGGGCCCTCCCAGAAGGCGGCGGGGCTTCTCAGAAACCCTCGCGCCTTCCGAGCAATTTCTTTCCTGTCTTCGAGGAAGGCTCAGAACACTTCTCGGACAGCCGGGGGGCTTCTGAGCCTTCTGAGAAGGCCTTCTCCTTCTCATTTCCCACCCTCGCTCGCCGCCGAGACAAGTCTGAACACGGAACCGTCGGTGATCTTGATCATCGTCCATCGTGGTCATCGTCGATCTGTGGAATCCGCGACGGCCAGCATGGACCATGACCAAGATCGGCGTCGGCCAAGATCCTGCGACACCGTGGTCATGGTCAGCGTGACCCTTCCCTCGGGGGGCCCGAGCTCGGGCCATCCACCGCCGCCGCTGCGCAGCCGGCGCGCGGCCTGGGGCAAGCTCATGCCGCGACGGCCGTCGCGTGGTTTCTGACACCGCGCGGAAACCCAACCCGCGTCTCGGCGTTCCGACAACGCGGACCGCTCGATGCCGACCAGTTGTGAGCCGCGGGCGGCGTTCAGCCGTTGAACGCCCACATCCGGGTTCGCAGACGCGTCGGCACGACACGGAGCAGTCGTAGGCCCACCCTTCCATCGGCCGTCTCCGCCGTGCTGTCTCCCCCTTCTCTCCCCCTTGCTCTTCCACGGCGTCGCCAGCACGTCGCTGAGCGGGGCCAACCGGCTTCGGCAGAGATCGGCGACCGAGGAAGCCCGCCCCAGGATTGCCAGCACGCAGGCGCAGAGGCTGCGCTGTCATCTGGAACCCACCCTTGTCCGAACAGCGCACGCCTCAGCATGGAACGTCCAATAAGCTTCGAAGCAGATGTATATATATATATATATATATATATATGTATATACATATGTATTATTTGCTTTTTGCTGCAAAAAAACAAACCATGGGCTTTAACGCTTGAGCCATTCCCGAGGCTTCTGTCAGCGAGCAGCACTCACGCACAGCTTTTTTTCGGCCCATGGAATCCTGGCCGACGGTCATGCTGTAAGGACGTTGGATAAGAAACTATTGCAAAAAGAATCCAAGCCCTGGAAGCCGATAGAACGCCGATCGCGGATTCGCCAAGTATATCACCGCCACCCTCGTTGTGGAAGGAATCCTCCAGGGTTTGAAGCCTCATGGGCACGTTCCTTCACGGACGCACCCAAACGTACATCCGTGCAGCGATGCTCAACTATAGCCTGGGGCCCTGGCCTGCTTTAGCCGGTGCGATCGCAAGGCCATCAAAGGCTGCGCACGCTGGCCGTGCGCTATCGCACACGCCGGGCACGCGGGGGAGAGGGAGAAGAGGGAGTAGCATGGTGGGAACAAGGAAAGGCGACACCAACACCAGCAGGGCTAGGAGGTGCGAAGAGGCGAGGGGAGTCTCCTTGGTGGTGTGGTCCCCCCCTCTCGCTCGAGACATCCCCAGCATCCAGCTCGGGGAGGCATCGTGGACCTCCTCGCTGGAGGTGGGCCCCCTGGTGGTGTTGGTATCGCGTCTCCTCCCTCCGACATGGAGAGGAGGAGGAAAGCGGAGGGCGGAGAAAGCGGAGGGCTGCGGAGGCCATGCGCCCCCCCGGCCTGGGGTTCTTGGAGCACATCGCGACGGGCACTTCACGCCGTCTGTCGTGGCCAGACGGCGGGAATTAGTTGACAGCGGGAGATGGCGCCAGCGCGCGCGGGGTGCAGTCGGCGTGCTGCCGTGAAGAGCGCGCAGCAAAGGACGAAGGGGCTGTCCTGGCCGAGGCGAGCCGCGCGAAGTGGTCGCCCGGCCCGGGTCCCAGGAGCGGCCCGGAAACCATGGCCCCTCCTGAGCCCGCTCGGTGGTCCTGGTTTCAGCGCCCGGGCAGTGGCTGACGAGGCGCATCAGGGCCACGGAGGGGGGGGCAAAGGGAGGAGCGAGGAGAGGGTACTCCGCCTCGCTCCTCGAGCGCTGGGTCCTCGCCCGAGGGCTCAGCTTTCCTCCTCCCGCCCTGCGAAATAAATAGTGTCAGTGCTGATCTGTAAGCAGTGTAGCATAGCGTGCCAGCAAGGAAGCAAAATGTGCTAATATTCAAACGGAAGGTAACGTGTCCTTTCGTAACCTTTTGGGCTCAATCCTTTAAGGGCCCTTGAGCTTGGGCGTATCGGTAAACACCTCTGCAGGTGCCGCCAAGCAACTTACCATCGCCTATCATTGCTGATCTATTGCTGATCTATTTCCGTCATAGCTGACAACGACAACCTCGCGGTCATCATCGCACCCAGACCCCTCATCGCAATATCGGGTCTGCATTGGTAGCAGGAGCTAACTCGACCACGGCAGCTACGTGCGCGACTTCGCAGAGTCATTTAGCAAGCACTACAGGCTCGTGATTTGGATTGCGACTGTACCTCTCATTCGAGGTCGCCACCATGGCGACGGCAGGAGGAGCCGCTGCAGCCAGCGGCGAGGACAAGAGCAACGGGGGCAAGATCCCCGTACCCGTCTTCGATGGCACGAGCAAGACCATGAAGAAGTACCGCCGAGAGGTCGCCACCTGGCAGATCGGGACCGAGGTCAAGCCGCCCAAGCAGGGAGCGCCCTTGCTGGCCAGCCTGAAGGGCAAGGCCGAGGAGGCGTGCGAGGAGCTCGACCTGGACGCCATCAAGGGCGACGACTCGGTGGAGGTGTTCCTGGAATACCTCGGGAAGCGCTTTCCCGAGATCGAGGTGCTGGAGACCCCAGCGCTGCTGGAGACCTTCGTGCGCCCGGCCTGCGTCCGGCACAAGTACGAGGAGATCCGCGACTACAACAACCGCTTCAACGGGATCGCCACCAAGCTGAAGGCCAAGGGCATCCAGGTGCCCGACGAGGTCTTGGCGGACCTGTACATCAAGGGGGCCCGCCTGCCCCCGGAGCGCGCGGCGAGCGTGCTCAACGGTGTGGGCAACCAGTTCAACCCCACCAAGATTCAGGAGCAGTTGATGATCAACTTGCCCAAAGTATCGGTCGTGGACGGCAACAAGGACAGCCACGACAAAGGAGGCTACGGAGGTCACAAGAACAAGGACCACAAGCGGGCGTACGCCACGGAGACCTACGAGGAGGATCGTAGGGCCGAGTTCGACGGCGCGTCCTCAGACAGCTCCGACGACTACGAGGACGAGCTGCCCGACGAGCTGCAGGACGCGATCGACGAGGCGGAGGAGCAGGTAGCCTTCTTCACCAAGAAGATGGTGCGCGCCAAGGACAAGCTGAAGGAGGCGAAGCAGGCGCGCGGCTACTTCGCCAAGCGAGACGGCGGCAACCCGCCGAAGAGAGACGATCCCAAGATCGCCAAGATGAAGGCAAGGACACACTGCGGCGCATGTGGCCGGAAGGGCCATTGGCGCGGTGACCCGCAGTGCTCGAAGAAGAACGACCCGAACGCCAAGGCCGACATCCCGAAGAAGGGAAGCAACAGGACGAACATCGCCACGCACGAGACCAGTGACGCGCAGGAGCCTCACGTGGCGGAGATGACGGTCGCGGCGGTCTACCAGCAGGACCAGCGGGCCGCAGCTCGCGACAGGAAGTACGGCGCGCTGCACAGCATCGACGGGATGCAGATGCGCCAGGCCGCCGGGCTACCCGAAGAAGTTACGGCAGCGGCGTTCTTCATCAATAAGGACCACCAGTGCCTGATGGCCGCGACGAGCTCGGCGCTTATCTACCTCAGCGTCGAGGACCTGCTGAAGGAGTCGGGGGGCAAGCTGACCTTCGACACGGCTTGCACGCGGTGCGTCGGCGGCCTCGACTGGTACAACGACATCAAGAAGAGGCTGGCCGCCTTCAACATCCAGCCCATCGAGTACCCCGAGAAGGAGCCGTTCCGGTTCGGGGCGTCGAAGGTGGTGTTCAGCCTCAAGGCGGCGCTGATCCCCTGTTCGGTGAACGGCAAGGCCTTCACCGTCCGCATGAACATCGTGCGCAGCGCCGTGCCCGGACTGTTCAGCCGCAAGGCCCAGAGCGAGCTGGACACAGTCTACCACGCCGGAGACAACAAGCTGGACATCAAGTCGATCGACGAGCACGACATCCAGATGGGCCTGGGACGCGCCGGACACCCGACGCTGGACATCACAGGCTTCACGCCGGGCTACAAGCCCGTTTCGGACGTCTCGGATACCAAGGCCGAGATTCGTTTCCACCCTTGCGCTTCTTACCACGCTGAGACAGCGGTGGCCAGCGCCGCCAAGCCGGTGGTGCCCGAGGCTCGCCACCAAAGGGTCGCCTCGGAGGCCGACGAGTCTCAGTCGGACACTGACTGCGACGCGCTCGATAGCGCCGAACTGTTTGAGCAGCAGGTGCGCCAGGCCATGAACGCATACATTCCATCACGTCAATCGTCGTCGGGATCGGAAGACGAGGCCTGGGGAGTGTGTACTCGGTCAGTCAGCACAGCACAGATTATGCAGACAAACCACGATCATGACGAACGAGGAGCTAAACCTCGCAGCGATCCTCCGTCACGGCGTGATCGATTTCAGCAGCAAGCAAGCCGTAGCGAGCCACGAGATCAGCCATCAGCACGCAGTCACCAAACTACATCATCACCGCAGCCATCCGGCTCGAGTTCAACTGTGGCTCCACCAGCGAGTACGACGCGTGCCGTGGCAGATCCAGCCACCGCAGCTTTCTACGAACCAGCGGCCGGCGCTTATGCCCCCGCCGCACCAGCGATGTACGACATCTCCCAAGGAGACGAGCCCGTGGAGCAGCAACCAGAACTTGCCGACGACGAGTACTGCCCGTCTCCCGGCGATATCCAGCATGCGGATGCCGGAGCTGCAGGCCGAGGTGGCAAGCTACGACTTGGATGTGCGCGACGCCACGTGCGACCAGCTCCGGGTGATCTTGCGTGCGCTGAGGGCCGAGGGCCGCGAGAGCACGCCGCAGGACGACTACATCCCGGGGCTTGGCAAGAAGAACAAGGAGGAGCTCCAGCAGCTGTGCCGGGACCGCCAGATCGAGTTCGACCAGCGCACGACCGTGCCGGAGCTCAGGCAGCGCCTCAAGGGCTGGAAGGTCGAGGACGCGGCCAGCAGTGCCTCGGCAACGGTGGCTCATCCGAGCTCGCAGATCACCGGGGCCGACAAGATGCGCTTCGGCAAGTACCCCACGGCGGACTACCGCTGGGTGCTCAAGAACGACCTGGGCTACGCGCAGTGGGCGGTCCTGGAGCTCAACAGCAACCGGGCAAGCCCGCTCCTGGCGCGGTTTGCCAGGTGGGTCAAGGCGCACGGAGTGCAGCCCCTTCCCCCGGAGAAGGCCAAGACAACCTTGGAGGCAGTGATGGCCGAGGAGGTGGTGCTGGACGACGAGTGGGTGGCGCCGGCGGCGACGACCACGAGGGCCTCAGGAAGCCAGGGGAGCTGGGCCGGGCATCGGCGCCAGCGTCCTCCGGAGCCGCACGAGATGGACACCAGCGACATGGGCTTCGAAAAGGCGGGCGAGACCGACAGGGAGGATCACCCGAGCGCCTCCAGGGAACCTCCGCAGAGCCGAGACTAGGCGGCGATGGCCGCCAGGAGGGGTCGCCAGCCCCGAGGCGGCGGCCAGGCATCAAGAAGGGCAAGCGCGTCGGCCTCCTCTACCAGGTCACGGGCTTGCTGAGCGCCTTCGCCTTTCAGACGGTGCTCACCGCGGACTGGCTGGCTAGACCTCTCAAGCCAGTGGCGCAGCATGCTACGAGTGCTGCGCGAGACGTGGTCGACCACGTCCAGAACGTCAAGGAGGCCTACAGCGTTCGCAGCCACCGCGTGGACGTCATGCAGGTGTTCGGAGGCGAAGGCGGCATCACCGAGGCGGCGTGGAAGCGCCAGATGACGGCCACAGAGGTGATCGACCGCAAGTACGGATGGGACTTACGCAAGCAGAAGGACCTCGACGCGACGTACGACCTGTACTACGCCTCGAGGCCGAAGTTCGTGTCAATCGAGCTACCCTGCACCCACTACACGAACATCACGCACCTCAACTTTCGGACGCCGCAGGCCAAGCAGGCGCTCCGGCGGATCTGGAGGGCGGAGCGGCCGTTCTTTTTATTGGCCCGCGACCTCTGCAAGTACCAGCTCGACTCTGGCGACATGGCCATGATCGAGAACCCGGCCACCAGCCGGCTATGGACACAGCGCGCGAGTTTGGAGCTACTGGCAGACGAGCGCGTGTACCAGGTGAGGTGCGACATGTGCGAGTACGGAGCTCGACACTACAAGACGGGGGGACTCATCAAGCACCCCACGAAGCCGCTCGTTACCCACAAGGAGTTCGAGCAGCTGAAGCGCACTTGCAGCCACAAGCACCACGACCAGACCTTCGGGGACAACGTGGCGGTGCGCAAGTCTGGCGTTTATCCTGCTAAGTTCTGCCGAGCGGTGGTACGCATCGTGGAGCAAGTTATTCGCCAGCAAGGTGGGCAGCGCGCCTACCAGGTGGACTGTCAGTCGCACTCGTCGCCCTTCATCGTGACAGTGCCCAGGGAGCAGGCCACCGCCTACGTGAACGACACCGCGCCCCTGGGAGAAACGGGCGAGCCTGATGGGGGCCCAGACCCCATGGGCGGCGGAGACGATTTCGCCGACACTCACGACGTGCGGGCCGAAGATACTGTGGACGGCAGGATCGGGGTCGGCGCGATTACCTTCACAAAGGAAGCAGCAGCCTGCTGCAAGCCAGCCGAGCTGGCCATGCTCAAGAGACTCCATGTCAACTTGGGCCATCCGCCTAATGAAGATTTGGGACGCAGCTTGCGACTCAAAGGCGCTAAGTCGGCCACCGTCCAGGCCGTCAAGGGGCTGATCTGCGGGGTGTGCCGCTCGCAGCAGCGCCCGAGCGCGAGGAGACCAGCGCACCTCCACTTCGTGCAAGATTTTGGAGACGACGTCGGCTTCGACTGTTTCGAGCTCGAGGACGTCGACGGCAGCTACTGGTACTTCAGTATCGTCGACCTGGCTACCACCTTCCACGTCGCGACGCTGATCGGTCGCCACACCAGCCAGGAGTTCGCCGCCGCGTTCGAAAGGTGCTGGGCCTCCTGGACCGAGTCCACTTCGACATGGAGAAGGGGTTCGGCGGCGCCCTCAGCGAGCTGTTCCAGTCATTCAACACGGTGCAGCTGCCCATCGCCGGTCAGGCACATTGGCAGCTCGGTCGCGTGGAACGCCAGGGAGCTTGGTGGAAGGACCTCGCGGCGAGGACGATCGAGCACTCGTCGATCAGGGGCGAGGACGAGATGCGGACGCTGGCCATCATGGTCTCGGGCGCGTAGAACTCGCTGAGAAGGCGAGCAGGCTTCAGCCCCGCGCAGCGGGTGCTGGGACGCGACCCCAAGATGCCCGGAGACCTAGTGGACGATACGGCCAACTACAGCGCCCACAGCCTCGCGGCCAACGACGAGAAGATTCGCCGACGATATGCTATTCGGACGGCGGCGCGCGAGTCGTTCATGAGGATGCAGAACGACGACCAGCTCCGGCGAGCTATGTTGGCTCGCGCGCGCACGGTGGCGACGCCCTTGTCAGTGGGCGAGATGTGCTACGTCTTCCGCCAGGTCAAGAAGAAGGGGCAGCGGGAGCAGCACAACCGCAACGCCAAGAAGGGCATCTGGCGGGGGCCGCGCGTAGTCATCGGCCACCAAGGTGAGAACACCTGGGTCTCAGCAGGAGGCCACACCATGCCGGTGGCCCCGGAGCACATCAGGGCACTCGCTCCGGACGACGTCTGGTTCCCGAACGGCAGGGGCGAGATCGGCCAGGCCGTGGCCGAGCTCAACCGGGCTCGCGACTCGCTCGAACAGGAAGAGGCTCCGGTGGAAGACATCCGCCCGGCGCCTGGCGAGCCCGAGGTCAAGCCAGACGAGATGGAGCAGGCGTGGCGGGAATTTATCGACAACCCGGACGACAGCGACCTCAGGCTGAACGTCTCCGAGGATCGGCCCCAGCAGGAGCAGATCCAGGTGCTGCCCGCCGACGTGCCGCAGCAAGCTGAAGAAGAGCGAACCTACGGCCCTGACGAGTTCCGACGACGTCGAGCTACCTTCGACGGAGGGGGCAGCGGCGACTTCGGCCCGGCCTTCAAGCGCCTCCAGACCGAGAGGGGGCACGCAGGCTCTGGCGCCCTGCCCGCAAGGGCAACTTCGCGCGACCGCGCGGCGGCGCCCGATCAAGAGGCAGCAGCCGGACCCGAAGCAGAAGGAGCCCGCCAACGTTCGAGGTCGGCTCCAAGACAAGTACTGCAAACCTCCATCGTGACCGAGAGAATCAAGCGCAAGCAGGCCGACAAGGAGATCCACTGGAGGGCCATCAAGGACTCCGATCGGGAGCTCTTCAGGGAGGCGGCCGCCAAACAGTGGAGCGAGTGGCAGAAGTGTGGCTCTTGTCAGGTACTCTCCATCGAGGAGTCCGAGGCGATCAGGGGCATGATCAAGCCCAGCCTCATCCTACCCAGCCGGTTCGTGTACCGGGACAAGAGCGCCCCGCTGCGGACCGACAAGCATCCGCTGCCGGTCAAGGCGAGGGCCCGACTCTGCGTCGGGGGTCACATGGACCCGCGCCTCGCTCAGGGCGACCTGCGGACGGACGCGCCCACGGTCACCCGCAACTCGACCATGCTGTTCTTCACCATCTGCCAGAGGTTCGACCTGGAGATCTATGCGGCGGACGTGGAGGCGGCTTTCATGCAAGGCGACGAGCAGCCCGACCAGCAGCTGTACATGGCCCAGCCTCGCGAAGGTCTGCCTGGGCTCAACCCGAAGCAGCTGATCAAAATCCTCAAGGAGTTTTCGGGCTGGCGACGGCACCGAGACAGTGGTGGGCGAAGCTCAAGAGGACCTTGCTCGCGGTGGAGGAGAAGCTGAGCGACAACTACGTGTTTCGCCTACACTCACCTCTCCCAGTGTCTAGGATCGTCGCAGGAGCGTTCTTTCTGAAACTTTTGTTTCACTGGGGTCGGGGTTTCCGTTGACGCTGGGGGCAGTTTGCGCGGCTCGCAACATAGCAGCGCCATTCAGCGCGCGCGCGGGGGCGCGCGCGGGCACTCAGAAGCGCGCAGCTACTCGGAGAGACGCCCGCAAGCGGCCATGCGAGACCACGGGCGCTCACAGGCACGCGGAATCACAGGCAAGCGCCCCCGCGTGTTCACATTTTCCCAAAAGGGTTGGCGAGAACTTCCACGCGCGCCCACGAGCACCCGCAACTGATCACGAAGCGCCCGCTGGAGGTCGCAGTCGCGGGCACGCGCCCAAAGGCGGCCGCGCAAGCGCAGAAACGCCCGTCGAAACCTTCCCCGCATGCGCTGCTCCGCAGGCCCTCGAAGGCCTCCGCCCAGCGTCGCGACCAGGGGCCCACGTAGTGAGTCGGGCGAATGTTTATCAGCCTTGCCGGTCGCCCTCGGCATCCCTGCGCGCGCTGGCAAGGGGCGTTTTCTACAGACAGCTTCCGGAGGCCCATCGACCCCCAACGCATATTGAACTGCTGATGAAGGGGCCTGAGCGTGTTCCAAACAAGAACGCTATGTCGCAGAAGGGGGGCCTTGGCCACAGACGGCCAAAAATAGATGCTTGGGCCTGTGAGTTAACATATTGTGCATGGGCAAATAAAAAAAAATACACATACGCCGGTATAGAGAAATATACATGTATGAACGGGCGTACATAACGATATGCACGGACAACTGTAGCACGACAGCTGTGTACAGGTGTATCCAGAATGTGGCGACATTTTCCCAGCCGTCCATGTACGCAGAGGGCCTCAATCGGGCATTGCCTTTTGGATGAGCACTGCCTCGCGGGACTCTCGTGTGGCTTTGCTAGGCTCTCACTGGTCTCATGGGGTTCGCTCGTCGGGCTCTCACGTGTCTCGCGGGGTTCGCTCGTCGGGCTCGTCGGGCTCTCACGGCCTCGGAAGGCTACAGTCAGATCCCCATTGGGCCCCAAGAGGGTTCCAGATGGCCCCAAAAAGCGCAAATCAGGACCCCAACAGGGCCATATGAGGGCCCCAAGAGGTCCCCAGAGATGTGTCACGGCCGTGAAATTTCCCCGGGGCCCTCTCGGGGCCCTCTTGGCCCCCCCTGGGAACCTCCTTGGGCCCCTCAAAGACGGCGGCAGAGGCCTCAGGAAGAGTCAAGAGAGGGCTCCAAGAGGGCCTCGAGAGGCCCCCAAGAAGGCCCACGGGATTATGTACCACAAAGGGGGTCGGTTGGTAGATATTCCTGGGCCCCTCTTAGAGACATCTGCGGTGCTCTTGGGGGCCATCTGGGGGCCCCAGGGAGCCTTGTGGGGCCCCTTTTTTCCAGCCCTCCGAGGCCGTCTTCCCTCCTGCGTCCTCCTCCTACTTTATCCTGCTTCCTCCTGCAGCCCCCATCCTCTGCATCCTCCTCCTGCCTCCTCCTCCGCCCCCTCCTCCTCCTCCTCCTCCTCGCCCCCCTTCATCCTCTCATGCACCTGCATATAAGTATTCCTCCTCCTCCTCCTCCCTCCTCCTTTTCCTCCTGCTGCCTCCTCCCGCTCCTCCGGCTCCCCGGGGCAACAGGGGCCCCGGAGCACTCAGAGGGCCGTTGGGGTCCGCACTGCACTCCCCACTGCGCTCCCCACTGCACTCCCCACTAGCGCCCCACTAACGACTGTCACAGGGTTCGTGGCCATGCCGATTCGGCTTAAAGTCGAGTGCCACAGTCGAGTGCGAAGTCCCGCTTCAGATTTCTCGTGGGCTCGTTGGTGGGCTCGCTAATGGACCCCTTAGTGGGCTCGTTTGTGGGCTCGTTAATGGGTCGTTAGTGGGCCCCTTAGTGGGCTCGTTACTGGGTCCCTTAGTGGGCTCGTTAGTGGGTCCCTTAGTGGGCTCGTTAGCGGGCTCGTTAGTGGGTCTCTTAGTGGGGGCGTTCGGGGGTCCGCTCCTGGGCCGTTCGTGGGCGGCCTCCTGGAAGAGCCTCGTTGTTGCCTGGTGGGCTTCTTGATGCGAGCCCTGAGTGACTTCGCCCAAAAGAGTCCGAAAATTTTCAAGACCCACCGATGAGAGCCCAACGAAGACTTCGAGAGTCCGACGGAACCCGGCGGAGCCGGAAGGAGCCATACGGAGCCCGACGGAACCCGACAGAGCTCAAAAGGGAAAGGACAAGGCGACAGGACGAGCCCGACGAAACCTGACAGAGCCCGACTAGAGGAAGGAGGAGGACAAGGAAAGGAGGGGGAGGATGACAAGGGGAGAGGAGGAGCCCGACGGAGCCCAATCGAGCCCGCAAGAGCCCCACGAGAGCCTCGCGAGAACCCCTGGGGGAGCCCGGCGAGAGCCCCGCGTGAGCCCCACGAGACCCCAAGCGAACCGAGGAACGCCCGGCGAAATCCTTGCGGGGAACCCCATGAGAGCCCCGCAGGACCCCCGCGAGAGCCCGACAAGCGAGCCCCACGAGACCCGTGGGAGCCCAACAGAGCCCCACGAAAACCCCGCGAGGCAATGCTGGTCCCAAAGACAGTGCTCGAGAGAGGCAGGCCGCGTACCTTGCGGTCGAGTAGTCGTTGCCACATGTTGGATGCACTAGTGCATCGCTCTCGTTCTTCACTGGCCCATGCACGTGTTTTTCTTTACCCGCCCATGCATGCATATTTCCATATGCTGGCCGATGCTCAATGTCGTGTTCTATACCGGTTAATGCTCACATGGTCGTACATTGGCCCACGCATATCTTGCGCACATCTGTGGCGAAGGTCCCCTTTGCAGCTCAACTGTTATACATGTTGAAGCACCCGCAAGTTCCTTAATCGGCAATGCAATTTGGGCCGATGGGTCGATGGGCCGTCGGCAGTCGTCTGCAGAAAGCACCCCCCGTCAGCGCGCGCAGGGATGCCGAGGGCGACTGACATGGCTGAGAAACACTCGCCCGATTCACTATGTGAGCCTCCCGGGCGCGACACTGGGAGGAAGCCTCCGAGTGCCTGCAGGGCGGTGTATGGCAATTTGTGAGCGTTTGACAGCAATGGCCACCTGTGAGTGTTTTGCAATGTCGGGAAGGCGTTGGCGGGTCATTTCCAAACCACGCCAAAATAATGACCACACGTTTAAGACGACTCCGCCGCTATCATGCAACGCGCATGCCGTTGGGCACGCACCGGGCCCCGCCCCGCGCTATCGCCATGGCCGCGAATCATTCTGGCGAGATGCGCAACCATGGGCACACGCGCGCCTGCGATTCAGCCACCCCCCTAGAGAAGGAGGGGTCGAAACCATAGCGCCCGAATCAAACAAAAACGGCAATGAACAATGAGTGCGGAGCGCGAGCCCAGCGCGCGCCGCAAAAACGAAACAAGAAAAAACAAACAAACAACGAAACGAGCATGAAACAACACCATTAGTGGATCCTAGCCTCGGGGAGAGCTGACTACACCAGCACTCGCTGGACCCAGCGCTGTACTGCGGCTACGACCAGCACGGGGAGCTCTGTGCGGTGGTGGTCGCCCACGTAGACGACTTGCTGCTGGGGATCTCGCACAAGTGCCCGGGCCTCTACGACAGGCTTCACAAGCTGTTGCCCTGGGGCGACTGGCGAGGCTTGCATCTTACCTTTTGCGGCAAGCAGGCCTGGCGATATCAAAAAGGAGTGCTACATCTACGGCAGACCGAGTACGCGAACACCATCGAGGAGATTCCGCTCAGCAAGGAGCGCAAGACGGAACTGTCGTCAGATGCTACGCCAACTGAGTTCTCGGACAACCGCTCCGCACTCGGAGCGCTCGGGTGGCTTTCATCGCAGACTCGTCCCGACCTGGCAGCTGGAGTGGCCATGGGGCAGCGAACCCAGAACAAGCCCACCATCCAGGACTTGCTCGAGACGAACAGGCTCATCAAGCTGGCGCGGAAGCACGCGGATGTGGGTTTGGAGTTCCCTAAGTTACGTGGACCTCTGTGCCTGGTGATGTTCCGCGACGCCAGGTGGGCCAACGCTGATGAGCCAGCTGAAGGCGCCATCTCCAAGTTGCTCGCGAAGACCGTGGGAGCAACCAGTAAGGACAAGAATATCAAGATTCGCTCGCAGGCCGGCTACGTGACTTTTCTCGCAGAAGCCAAGCTACTACGCGGAGATCGAGCTCGAGCAGGGATCGTTGATTAGAGATCGGGCACCATCAAGAGAGTTTGCAGATCTACGTTGGCAGCCGAGACGATGTCGGCAGTAGACGCTCTAGGCTGTGCTCAGATTACACGCTGTGTTTTCGCTTCGCTAGAGATTCCGGATGCCCATCCAGAGGACATCCCGCCGAGTCTGTTGCCGCTCGCTCAGGTCACAGATTGCGCCAGCTGGTACGAGACGATGCACAAAGACGGTTATTCCAAGCTCCCGTCAGAGCGGCGCCTTTTGCTCGACCTAGTGGGCCTCAAGGAGTCACTAGAAGAGGAAGTTAGCAACGAGTTCGTCGCTGACGATCACCGCAGCCAACTACCTCTCTTTTGGGTTCCGACTGATCAACAGCTAGGTGATCAGTTCACCAAGCGATCGGACGGCAGTGCCATCAGGGCAGCGCTGCGAGACACACGCCTCGCTTTGCAGCATCAAGAGCCGACTGACCAGGCCAGAGAGCATGAGGCACACCTGACCAGTGCCGGCTCACTTTTCAAGCGCGCGGTGCGCCTGGTCTCATTTTAGCTCGTTGACGTGCCATTACCACGTCTACATGCGCTATATCGGTAGATGCACAGATCAGAAGAATTTTGCACGAGTGTGAAATAAATAGTGTCAGTGCTGATATGTAAGCAGTGTAGCATAGCGTGCCAGCAAGCAAGCAGAATGTGCTAATATTCAGACGGAAGGTAATGTGTCCTTTCGTAACCTTTCGGGCTCAATTCTTTGAAGGGCCCTTGAGCTTGGGCGTATCGGTAGACACCTCTGCAGGTGCCGCTAAGCAACTTACCATCGCCTATCATTGCTGATATATTGCTGATATATTTCCGTCATAGCTGACAGCGACAACTTCGCGGTTATCATCGCACCCAGACCCCTCATCGCAATATCGGGTCTGCACGCCCCGTTTCGCTGCGGGGGCCAAGGGACACACAAAAAAAATGGGCGCAGGTTCCATGATGCTCCCCCTAGTTTTCCACATCCTCTGGATTCTCGTCGTCCCCATCCACTTCCCATATATCCCCGTGTTTGCCTAGGGATCGGCTATTATTCGTGTCTGTGTGTGGTTTCCCCTCCTGCCTTCCGCATAACACGATGAGACCTTGCTGTTCGAATTCAAGTCGGCTATGGCGCGCGTCCGCAGATAGAGAACATAATCAGCGCAATCGGGAGGGAGGGGGAGGGAGGGAGGAGATGTCAGGTGTGGCGCGCGCGCACCTAGCTTGCCCCCCCCCTCTGCCGTGGGGCTGGTCTTCGGATGAGGCTGACCGCATCTTCTGGGCTCTCAAGGAGCAGCGCTGGCAAGCAGCGGGAGGGAAAAGGGGCAGGAGGGGGGCAGGGGGGGGGCAGGGGAGGCTGCTTTGGGGGAGGCAGGGTCGGCTGCTTCCGATTGTCAGGACCGTCACAGAACTGACCCAGGATGAACATCTGGCCTCTCGGCAGAGCTCGGGAGCTCTGGGGCCTACGTCACAAGACACATGCTCCGCTGGAGGAGAGGGTAAAGACAGGGTTGGGAATCCTGGCTGGTCTTTGTTGCACGACTGTTTTCCATGGCAGCGCAACGAATGCAATACCTCAAGCGACGTGTGACATGAAGGCCCAAACGGCCAGATCTCGACGCAAGCCTGCACGCACCCACAGATCCAGGGTAGGGACCAAAGGCGAGCGGCAAGGGGCAAAGGGAGCGGGCCGAGTAATACTGAGCACCAACTACCTGCACGGACATAACTAACAGCGGCATGGAAGCTGTCCGCAAAACTGATCGCTGAGAGGTCGGGGAAAGCGGTCAGGAGGGGAAAGAAACAACAGTACCCATTGGTCCGAAAAAGTGGATAGAAGCATGGAGCAGGAAGGCGTTGAAAGTAAGTTGGGCTTCCGCCGGCCCCCTGGAGAGGAGGGGAGAAGAGGGAACACAAATCGCTGACGCAGGCTGGAATCTGGGAGCCCGGCCGAAAACATCCAAATTTCAAGTACCGATGGGTACTCCTAATTTTGAGGGTGTGATGTGGGCTGTCTTGGAGGGCTCCGGTGTTTCTGGGCAATAGGCCGCCCTTTCGTGACTGGTCTTGGAAGGGGGGGGGTCGAAAGTTGCTCCACTTGGAGGTATGCGACCCCCACCCCAGAAGAATTATGAAATTCGGCGTACGCGTGCTCACCGCAACAAGGTGCAACCAGGTGGCGATATCCGAACCCCACCCCCACCAAGCACCATTGATTCTCCTGAATCGGTGGTAAGCGGGGTCAGGGTTCGGATTCCGCCAGGTGTCCGGCAAATTCCGCACCCTACGCCCGCCGCCCATCGAGCTGCCTGAATCGTTGATCGGCGAGAGTACGGCCGGACCTAGGACAGAAGAACATCCATCAGGAGCATGAGACCCTCCGCCAGCCAGAACACCCCAAACCCTAAGAAATCACTGAGCGTGCCGTTCCCCGGGATGCACAAGAGCGTGCGAGCAAAGCACGAAGAACACTGGAGTAGACCGTCCCCGAGCCCACCTCGATCTGATAACTCTGGTCCGACCGTGGCTCGGACCTCACCGCCGAGCAGCGTGGCAGCGCGGCCGCCCAGTTCCCAATCTCACCCCGCCTAGAGGGGCAGGATGACGAAGAAGATGGGCAGGAGGAGGAGGAGGAGGAGGAGGAGGAGGAGGAGGAAGGCGAGGAGGAGGCGGAGGAAGGCGAGGAGGAGGAGGAGGAGGAGGATGAAGAGGATGTGGAGGAAAAAGCAGCCCGTGAGAGCACGCGCGCCGCACCCGAGCTCCGCCGCGCTCCGCCGGCGCGTCGCGCCCGGTGCGCGGCGGCCCCCGCCGACCGCTCGGGCCCTCCCCCCGCGGGCGCCAGCGCACGTCTCGTGGCGTGGCAGCCACCGGCGGGCAGAGCCACCGGCGCGCTGCAGTCCCTGGCTCTCGGAGCATTGGCTCCGCAACGAGCCCTGGGCCACGGATGGCCGAGGCGGTATAGACTCACGAGCGGCGGGCGGGTCCGCATCGGCGCCCTCGCGGTCTGTATGCCGGGGCCTGATCCCGCGGATACGCGGTCGCGCGGGTAGCGGGGGGCATCCGCGAAGGAACGCCCCCCCGGATCCGTGGGGTCGCGGCCTGGGGACCTGGCCCGCGAGGCCGCGGATGCGGATATGTTTTTCGCTCACGATCTACAACAGACGTTGCCGTAGCTCGCACCACCGACATTCTTCTGCGTTTCATTCAGGTGCGTATTCCTTGCTCCACTTCTTTGTCTGCCCTTCCCACCCTTGGGTATCAGATCCCCGCTGCCACAGAGAAGCTGCGCTGGAATGGTCGGCGGAACCTGCCGCATTCACCCAGGCCGACGGGCGACTCCGTGATCGCCAGAGCTCGGAAATGCGCTGCTCGCTCTGGAAGCGAGCGCGCCCCCATCGGCCCCTGCGCCGCACCGCGACTCCCGAACGACACGGGCCACGACACGGCGCAAGGCTCTAGAAGGAAACCACAAGGCACCGATACCGCTACTCTGGACGGACCTCTCCCGCGGTGCGTTCTGACCAAAAATTAGAAGCAGATCCAGCCGTGGCGACGAGGGCCCCCCCCCTGGAGGCCCAGAAAGGCAAAAACCAGGCAAGGGGAGCGGTGTCGGTAGATTTCCTCCTCTGATCGAGAGGCTCAGGTGCGCGCCCGAACGCACGATCTCCGGCGCTGCAGCGCCGACAGGCGCCTGGTCTGCTGCTGCAGCTGCCCAAGCAGCTGCTGCTTCAGCGCCGCCTGGTCGGGCACGGCCGCGCACCGCACGTCCCGCTCGTCCTGTTCCTTCTCGCGCGCCCTCCACTCGACGACGAAGCTGCGGGTGCAGCCGCACGCCCCCGCGCCGCCCGTCTCCGTGCCATGGCCGCGGGGTCTCCACACGGGTGCGCGGCCGCTGCCGAAGCTCCAGTCAGTCTCCCAAGTCTCCATGGCCCTCCCGGTGCCGTCGCTGCACAGTCCAGTGGGCAGGTGCAGCAGGCAGCGCCACTTCCCGCTGCGCGACGCAGGGAAGCCGAAGCCCTGCAGCAGCGTGATGCCAAGCTCGCCGCTCAGGAGGGCCGCGGCGGACACTGCAGGCCTCCATTGGACGATCAGCTGCACTTCGGGGCGCGTCCGCGGCCACTTCCAGGGGTGGTCCAGCAGACCACGGCCTCGAACCTGCACCTTGCACAGCGTCGCCTCGACAGGCGTGGCCTGCAGCAGAGGCACGTTGAAATAGCCTGCGCCCACAATGCCGTCCTGGTCGTGTCCGACGACCTCGACGCGGCCCCAAGGCTGGTCAGCATCCAGCATCCAGTCGGAGTCTACAGACGTGCGTTCGTCTCGCTTGACGCTTCGTTTCAACTTTCTCGTCTCCATGTGGTCTTCCCAAAGGGCCTTATACTGCGCAGACATGGCCCCCAATGGCAACAAGAACACGAAGCACTTGACCAGCCCAACGCAGCGAACGATAAGCTGGCCCGCCAACAGCGTTGGGTAGTGGCCGGCCAACGCCAAGCTGTCCTGTGTGTTGGTCAGCAGCGCCGCCGCCCAGCTGAGGAGACGCACGTTCTCGTCTATCATGTCCTCATCGTCGTGTGGGGGCCGGCGGTGGTGGCTCTCCATGACCTCGAACTGGTAGATCAAGCCAGCCACGATCAAGGACATCACCAACAAATACACAACTATTACAAGTAACTCTCTGCCGCTGCGAGCGAGTGTGCTTCCAATCATATGTGCCTCTGCGCTGAAATTGATAAGTTTGATCACACGGAATACTCTCGTTAACCGCAGCATGCGAAATACGGTGAGGTTGAGGTTGAATTGAATGACAGAATGGGCCTTCCATAGCCAGAAAGGAATAACAGCAAAGAGATCGATAATTTGCGAAGGGTCCGCAACGAACGCCACCAATCGATGGCTCATATTCTCCTCTGGTACAGGAGCGTTTGGACTGTACTGAGGAACGACGACTTTCAGTAGCATGCGCTCATCTCGCAGTAAGCTTCTGCAGAAAGGGGCGCAAAACAGCTTTAGGAGATACTCCAGGGTGAATAATACCATCACGCCGTCGTACAACTCAGCGAAATAACCCTCGTCCGATGAGATAAGCTTGCGGAACTCGCTCGGGAAGACCAGCGGTACGAGGCTGATGACGACCAGCGTAAAGACAACGCACAAAAACATGACTCCAGCAATGGAGTGGCCAAAAAGGATCGTAGAGTAAGAAGGAGCGGCGTAAGCATACATTTATGAAGGGCCGCGTGGATTTCTTGGATCGGTGCTGGACCCCGGCCCCTCCATGGCGCGCGGAGCGCGCCAGGGGCGGCGCCGGAGGCGCCGCCAGGGGGGGCCAGCGTCGATCCAAGAAATCCGCGCGGACCTTCGACGGTTCATGTCGATGCCGTTATTTCTTCCTCGGGCTCAGCGAGAAGCGCTCCACCCTGGACAGGCGCACCCGGGGCGAGAAGCCCTGCTCGAAGGCCCGCCGCACGCCCGCCCAGCCGATGGCATCCGCCTGCAACGCGCGCTCCCACGCGGGGTCGTCGAGGCCCTCCACCTCGAGGACCAGGGTGAGCCTCCGCAGGAGCCTCCGGAACACGGCCGTCCGGACGCCGCCAGCGCCCCCCTCGACGTAGCCGAGCCTCCCGGCCCTGTCGAGCAGCTGGGCCCAGAAGGCCAGGTCGAGCCGGAGGCTGGCGGGCGGCACGAGCGGCACCCCGAGGAGCGCCAGCGGGGCCCCGCCGAGCGGCTCCTCCGAACTGCGCTCCGGGCAGTCGTCGTCGTCGTCGTCGTCGTCCTCGCCGCCGTCGTCGGAGCTGGATGGCTGCGCGCCGAGGCCTCGGCCGCTCCACGGCGGCCATCGCCCCACCGCGGCGGCCACGGCCCCGCGCGCCACCGAGGTCCGCCGAGGGCGGTCGTCGTCGTCGGAGCTCGAGGACTGCGCGCTGCGGAGGCCTCGGCCGCCGGGCAGCGCCCGCCGCCCCATCGCGGCGGCCACGGGCGCGGGCCCCCCGAGGGGGCTCTGCGGCGGGAGCCCGCTCCCGGGCCCTCGGGCTCGGCAGGCCTGCGCAGGCTGAGCGTCGCGCTATGGGGCTGCGGCTCAAAAAGGCCTGCGGCGAGGGAGCCGGAGACGAGAGCCGGCGGCGCGCAAGGAGAGCTCCTCCTCCTCCTCCTCCTCCTCCTCCTCCTCCTCCTCCTCCTCCTCCTCCTCCTCGGGTGCGCGGGTGGATGGGTGGGGGGCGCAGGGGGGTCGCAGCTCCAGGCGCACAGGCAGCTGCTATCGAACGTATCCGAGAGAGGCCAGGAGAGGCCGTGGGATGGGGGGGGGAAGGCGGGGAGGAGGATGGGCCCAGGACCAGACACCGAGAAGGTGGAGGCCTGGGATGAGGTGCCGGTCGTGCACCTCCGAGGTGAAGCGGCGAGCGTGCCAGCTACGAAAGGGGCCTGCGCACACACGCTCTCGCTCGACCGAGCGAGAAGACCCGGGTCCTCGAGAGCCCAACCCCCAAAGCCGACCTCTCATTCCGTCTGGCAAGCGGGTGGAGGCCTGGCCTAGAAAGAGGAGGAGGCGGAGGAGGAGGTGGCGGAGGAGGTGGCGGAGGTGGCGGAGGAGGAGGAGGAGGAGGAGGAAGAGGAGGATATGATGATGATGATGATGATGATGATGATGATGATGATGATGATGATGATGATGATGATGATGATGACGATGATGATGATGATGATGATGATGACGATGATGATGATGATGATGATGACGATGACGATGACGATGACGATGAGGAGGAGGAGGAGGAGGAGGAGACGCCGACGAGGAGGAGCTGAGGAGGAGTCGAGGAGGAGGAGGACGATGATGATGATGATGATGATGAGGAGGAGGAGGAGGAGGAGGTGAGAAGGAGCCGATGATGAGTGAGGAAGCTTCGGAAACTCTGTTCCCCTCTCCGACACCGCAGGGAAGGTTCTGGAAACGCGGAGCTTCGGAAACCATGAACGCATAACCTCTCCGCCTCCCGTGCCTCTCGCAATAGCGCGTGTCGCGGTGCCCACACTTGCGAAGAAGTAAAACATAACCAAACATGCTGGGAGACCAGCAGACTAGAACATCCTCATCTTCCTCTTCCTCCTCCTGTTCCACTTCTTCCTGCTCCTCCCTCCTCCTGCCTCCTACCTCTTTTCTCCCGCATCTCTCCGCATTCCTCACTCCTCCCTCCCCCGGTCCCCTCCTTCAGCGATTACGTGCACATTATGAATACTATTCTCCTCTACCCTGAATATGTCCTGAAGATCGTGGGTTATCTCCGCGAACTGTTATTCCACACAAAATTTGAAATCAAGTATGGTGCCGATGTTTGTCTTTCCCAACCATCCTATGGTCCCAACCATCCTGTGGTGCCGGCTCCTCGATTTGAACAGAGAGCGCCCCGCGTTCCTTCTCTCTCCTCCTCTGCCCCCTCCTCCCTCATCCCGTCACCCCCCTCACTCTAGCACACCCCTGACACGCTTTGTAGCCCCACAGGGAGCTCCATCGCAGGTCCTAGTTGAGCAGCCCGCATGCGTCTCCCCCACCCACTACAGATCTTCGTGGGCCTACAAAGAGCTCCCCCGAAGATCCCAGTGTCGCAGCCCGCATGCGTCTCCCCCACCGAGTACAGCGCTTCGTGACCCCATAGGGAGCTCCACCGAAGGTCCCAGTTGCGCAGCCCGCATACGTCAACGCCACCCAGGACAACGTTCCGTGGCCCCACAGGGAGCTCCACCGAAGGTCCCAGCGGCAGGGTCCGCATGCGTCAACGCCACCCAGTACAGCGCTTCGTGGCCCCATAAGGAGCCCCACCGAAAGTCCCAGTTGCGCAGCCCGCGTGCGTCTCCCCCACCCACTACAGACCTTCGTGACCATGTAAGGAGCTCCACCGAAGGTCCCAGTGTCGTAGCCCGCGTGCGTCTCCCCCACGCAATCCAGCGCTTCGTGGCCCCATAGGGAGCTCCACCAAAGGTCCCAGTTGCGCAGCCCGCATGCGTCTCCCACACCCAGTTCAGCGTTTCGAGGCTCTATAAGGAGCTCCACCGAAGGTCCCAGTGTCGCAGCCCGCATGCGCCCCGTCCCCCCGTCCAATACAAAGCGTCGTGGCCCCATAGGGAGCTCCACCGGATGTCTCAGTGGCGCAGCCCGCATGCGTCTCCCCCACCCAGTACAACGTTCCGTGGTGCAGCCCGCATGCGTCTCCCCCACTCACTACAAAGCTTCGTGGCCCTATAGGGTGCTTCACAGAAGGTCTCGGGGGCGCGGCCCGCATGCGTCTTCCCACCGAATACAGCACTTCGTGATCACATCGGGAGCTTCACCGAAGGTCCCAGTTGCGCAGCCCGCATTCAGCCCGCATGCATCTCCCCCACCCAGTGCACCGTTTTGTTGCCCCATAAGAAGCTCCACCGAAGGTCCCAGGGGCTCCCTGTGGGGCCACGAAACGCTGTACTGGGTAGGGCAAGCGCATGCGGACACCGCCACTGGGGCCTTCGGTGGAGCTCCCTGTTGGGCCACGAAACGTTACACTCGGTGGAGGGGAACACACCCGGACACCGCCACTGGGACCTTCGGTGAAGCTCCCCATGAAACTACGAAAGTCGGTACTGGGTGGGTGAGACGCATGCGAACACCGCAACTGGGGCCTTCGGTGGAGCTTCCTGTGTAGCCATGGAGCGCTATACTGGGCGGGGGCCTTCGGTGGAGTTCCCTATGGGGCCACGAACCGTTGTACTGGGCGGGGGAAGCGCATGCGGACACCGCCACTGGGACATTCGGCGGGGCTATTGGGCCACGACACGCTGTGCTGGTTGGGGGACATGCATGCGGACAGGGCCACTGGAGCCTTCGGTGGCCCCCCTTCTGGGACCACGAAACGTTGTACTGGGCTGGGGACATGCGTGGGAACCATGCCACTGGGGCCTTCTGAAGGGCCCCCTATGTGGCCACGAGACGTGTGAGGAGCGTGCCACGGGGGGCGGCATGCGAACGCAGCCACTGGGGCCTTCGGTGAAGCTCCCTATGGGGCCACGAAGCGTGGGACGGCATGCGAACGCAGCCACTGGGGCCTTGGGCGGAGCTCCCTATGGGGCCGCGAAACGAGTCAGGGATGTGCCAAAGTTGAGGGCGGCGGCATGTGAACGCAGCCACTGGGGCCTTGGTGGTGCCCCCATATGGGGCCACGAAACGTGTGAGGGATGTGCCAAAGTGGAGGGGGGGGCGGCATGTGAACGCAGCCACTGGGGCCGTGGGTGGAGCTCCCTAGGGGGCCACGAGACGTGTGAGGGATGTGACAAAGTGAGCTCCCGCTGGGGCATTGAGTGGAGCTCCCGATGGGGCCACGAAACTTGTGAGGGGTGTGCCAAAGTGGAGGGGGGTGAAGGGAGGAGGAAGGAGGGGGGGGGGAGGAGGACAGGAGAGGAGAAGACGCGGGGACCGTCTCTTCAAAATGAGGACCCAACACCACATAATGGTTGGAAAAAACGAGAAGCAGGCGCAGAAGGGCGGGGACTCAAAACACAGGGAAATTAACACACTCAAGGGATGCTGACTGGACCTGGGCCACCCCCCAGTTTGTCAAAATGTCCTGGGTGGACATGTAGCGCTGTCGCGCTGGGAGCTTGAAGCTGGGTGTTTCCTCCAATGAGAAGTGGCAATTGTGGCACTGTGAGATTGATCCAGGTCCAGTGACTTGTCTGTGTGAGATTAACACAGGTCCAAAGCCGCACTGTCTCCATCTCAAAGTGGCGCCGACACCCTGACAAGAGACATCGCCGCTTTGCGCCAATGCCCAAATGTCAATGACATTGTGCGATTTGCCCAATTTCACAGTGCTGTGACATCGCACCAGATCCAGCGACCCAAACCCGACCTCACATGGTCATGATGTCGCACTTCGAGGATCTACTGACCCGGGTCAATCCACACCCAGGTCACTCAGACTTTCCAGGATCCTGCGAGATCCTACTGGATCCTGCAGGATCCTGCGCCCAGGCCAAGGTCAATGCAACCCTGGCTCTGCAGGATCCTGCAAGATCCTGCGCCCTGACTGACCCCGTTCGCATCGACCCTCGTCATTTGAGCCCCGAACACTCTAGTATGAGATTGGCCTGGGGCCAATCTTACAATGTCACAGCGCTACAGCATCACATGATGGGCCGAGACTCGTCCAGATCCAGATGCATAGCGTCACCCCCGACCTCTCCCAGAGTGCGCCTTGGCCTGCACGTTGACCGGGATTCAGCGCCGTGGCGACGAGGGCGCCCCCAGGAAGCCCAACGAGGCCCAAAGTTTGGGCCTCTATCCCCGAATCTAGACCCTCGACAGTCGATCCCTGAGATCCGAGAAATCGAGACTGGCGCCCTGGACCCCATCTTTCTGCGCCATTCGCCATTCTGGAGAGGCCTCCTGGGTGGGATCCGAGTACGCAAATGGGGTTGGACGATCGCGCCGCATCCCCGATGCGTCGGCGATGCACCGGCGTCGTGGACGATGCATCGGCGATGTCGGCATGGAGAAGATCGGGCTCCACAGCGAGCCACATCGCCGATGCATTGGCGATGCGGCGCGATCCTCCGAACCCATCTGCTCGGACCTCACCTCGGAAGCCAATTCTTCAAGCCCGATCGATGTGCGATGGTCCCAGGGCCCCACACTGGGCGGAAACGCCTGAAATCTCGTCGACCCTCGACAAATGAAAACGGCACAAACGTTATTTCTCGGAGGTCCGCGCAGATTTCCTGCATCGGCGCTGGACCACCCTCCCTGGCGCTGGAGGCGTGGCCAGAGGGGCTCAGCACCGATCCGAAAACCCCACGCGGAGCTCAAAGAAATTAATGCTTATGCTTAGGTCGGGCCTGTCTCCCTATAGGGGGATTGTGGACGAAAAATGAAAAATAGTCGAGCAATGCTCAAAAGATGTCCACAAATACTCAAAACATAATCCCCAGACTAGTTCCTGA